AAAGTAACTTGTCTTTATATTTAATCACTAAGCAACCGCTCTTCTCATGATAGTGAAAGCTTGGGCCTAGGCTGTCACAGAAATAGCAAAACATCCTATCAAATTCATTGTTAAAACTGCATGAACCAAAACAAAAAACAAACAACTGCATGAATCTCAAAAGAGAATAAATTTAATAGTAAATAAATTCCATGTTCCATCAAATGTGTACTTCTCAAGATTTTAAACATCATAGCCAAGAATAAATGATGTAGGAGGTAACAAACTAAAGGCCTTGGTTTCAAGTTGTCTGTGAAGAGGCTTACAGAGTCCTCAACCCCTTGGAAAGAACCACTTTTCCATTTTTTACATTTCTGAAATGTCTGAGGGTAGAAGGATGGATGCTAACAGCAAAGGCCCCACTGGAAAAAAGAACACACTCTATCAACTGTGGGTTGGATGTTGTCCAGGATACCTGTGAAAACGTCCTCCTTTTATACAAAGAAAGCCCTCACTGACAAGGAACAGTCTTGCTGGCCCTACCTTTTGGCATTATCAAGAAGGATGAGCATACTAGCGCCTTCATCATCTTGAAAGCTCTCATAGTGATGGCGGTCAGCATTGCCAATCAGGTAGTCAAAGACAGCTGTGTCGATAATGTCCAAGAGGCGCGGGCCGGAATCATAAGGGGACGTTTTCTTCACAGCATCACAGTAGCTCTCATCATACTCCCACCTGGAGGCAAGCAGCATCACTAGGGTTATTGAGTGCCAACACTGTACCTGGCACTGTTAAAAACAAAGAGAAGACAGAGTTCCCACCTACTGGGTTTGCCCTGACCCCATGGTTCTTTGCATCCTTGGACAGAACTGCTGGCTCCTGTACAGGGATGGCACCTGGCCAGGCAGGCACAGGGAGAATTAGTGGCTCACAGGAGCATTTACCTGGCCAATTTGCCTTCTCGGTAAGTCCTGCCCCACGGGTGTCGGTGTTTCTGCAAAGGCCACACATCTGGAAGCCAAAGTGTGACAGATCCCTCCATTATATCTCCATCAGCACAAGCTGGCTCTGTTTCTCTGCAGTAATAACACTTCCCATAGAAACAAGTGTTGTTTCCTAAAAGACAGAAAGGAGCCAAATACACTTAAGGAAAGAATGGCGACTCCAAACTCTCCCCTAAGCAATGTAGGCGGGAGCAGCTAAGTAATCGCACACTGTGAAAACAAAGATCTTGAAATTCCTGTATTTCAAACATTGATCTTCCTGGATTTTTTTTTTTACTTATTTATTTATTTATTTATTTTTTAGAGACAGAGCCTCAAGCTGTCCCCCTGGGTAGAGTGCTGTGGCATCACAGCTCACAGCAACCTCCAACTCCTGGGCTCAAGCGAGTCTCCTGCCCCAGCCTCCCAAGTAGCTGGGACCATAGGCGCCCGCCACAACGCCTGGCTATTTTTTGGTTGCAGCCATCATTGTTGTTTTGGTGGGCCTGGGCTGGATTCGAACCCACCACCTTAGGTGTATGTGGCTGGCGCCTTAGCCACTTGAGCCACAGGCGCCAAGCCGCCTAGATAGGTTTTATTAACAAAAGCACATAGTGTAAAAAATGCAAACGGTACTAAAGGATATACATTAAAAAGTTAGTTTCCTTCTCCTGCATCCCTTCTGCCCAGTCTCTCCCAGGAGTTAACTACCACAAGTATCTTTCTGAACTCACTTTAATTAAAGGAAAATAATATCCTCCTCTTCTTCATCAGGGCTAAGATTTCAGTCAGAGTATCCAGGAAGGGCAAGAGGTAAGCAAATAAGTAGACAAATAACTAAGGGAGTTAAACATACAGAAAGGGAGATGGCCAGAATAAATCCGTGCTGTTGAATTAGAATTAGAGATGCTGGTTTGAACTGATGTTTTTAACACACACACACACACACACACACACACACACACACACACCCAACATATACCTATAGACGCTTCTTACCTCAGTCCTTCAAGAGAATCTGGAAACAATGACACCTAGGTAGAAATCAGCACACCTACCATCCACATATTAGTCTGTAAACACCACTGTAAGACTATATTAAAAGGCACCAGGGCTCCTTGAAGCTGACTCCAGGGCTGGGGCACAAGATGTGCCTGGACCATAGCGCTTTTGCCAAATGTAAGGAAGTGCTAAGAGAATGATGGGACCATTCCAAAATGGCACAGGAGCTAGTATGTAGGAGTTTCCACTGGCCAAATCTGGGACAGTTTGAGAAGTAACATAAAGAATATCAGTGATTAACTGTAACTCTGAGCAAATTAAGTCTATGGATTCACATGATATAAATAAATAAATGTGTATGCAGAAGGAGTTCTACCCTTCAATGAAGTGACAGAATTAAAAAAAAAACAAAACCATCATTTAGTAACTGTCACAATAACTGATTCAGAAAAAACTGTCAACAAATGCCAAAGGTGGTCAGTGAAAATTTGATGAGGAATGGAATATTTACATAGTTCTAGAGTATCTCCCTACAAAGTACTTAGTGATTACTTACTAGTAAATATGAAATGTTTATTAACTCTACACTGAAGCTGTGGACACTCATCATCTTAATCAAGTGATAAAATTAACATTACCACCAAAGGGACATATCAATAAATGGACAGTATCACTTCCTTGGTTTCCCTGCCAAACATCAGACAAACCCAAATTAAGAGGTATTTTATAGAGGGGAGGAGCAAGATAGCAGCTGAGTAACAGCTTCCTTGAAACTGGGCCCAGTGAGGCTGGGGAGAGAAGACTCCAGGCATCTCTGACTGGTGGGATCTGCCCAGAAACATCCCTTTGGGGACAGAGGGAGTCAGTGAGAGACTTCTGGACCTCATGAGGAGGACAAAAGCAGTGGAGAACTGGCAAGTGGTTGCGTGTGTTCGTTCCGTCTAATCCTGCCAGCAGCTGTGAATACAGCAGCAGTGAGATTGCAAACTGGAAAGGCCTTACCTGGGAGCTGTTTTCTATTTTTTTTTTTTCAAGACAGAGTCTCACTTTATCGCCCTTGGTAGAGTGCTGTGGTGTCACACAGCTCATAGCAAGCTCCAACTCCTGGGCTTAGGCAATTCCCTTGTCTCAGCCTCCCAAGTAGCTGGGACTACAGGTGCCTGCCACAACACCGGCTATTTTTTTGGTTGCAGTTTGGCCGGGGCCAGGTTTGAACCCGCCACCCTTGGTATATGGAGCTGGTGCCCTGCCCACTGAGCCACAGATGCTGCCTGAGCTGTTTTGTATTTTTTTGGACTTGGCACTCAGTTGAACTACCTTGGGAGAACTTGGGTGAGAGTGCAGAGGACTTTAAGCATTGTCTTGGGCCCTGGACTGAGCTGCTAAGGCAGATGGAGCTAATAGTGTTTGGCTATGGGCCACTGTGGGAGAACTGCCCCAGCAAGCTCCACCCTCAGGGTCACAGAGCAAGGATCTGGCGGGCGGGCGGGTGCAAGTAATCTAGTGACTGAGCAGCCTAAAGGCGGAGACTGAGACACCTTGCAGCCTTGGCCCTCAGGGGCATAGAGTGAGACAGGTTTTGGCACACTGGGTAAGTGGATAGCCACTTCAGGAGTGATCCTAGTGACAAGTGCTTTCCTGGGAAAGCTTCTGCTTAGCCAAGGTTAGCAGTTTAAAGTGCCTTTTAAGCTGGCTGAGGAACGATTTATGCTCTCCAACCTGCGGGGTTTGAGAAATCAACAGAGGCCTCCAGTCTTCATCCCATATAGCTGTGTCAGCATTGGGATTAACATCTCATACCCCAGAAGATCACCTGTTGCCCAGAAAATATTCAGTAAGATATACATACTGCTTTGTGTTTTGTTTTAATTTCAACCTTTTTCCTCCTAGATTTTTCCCGTTTTTTTCTTTTCTTTCTTCATTTTTCTAGTTTAAATATAATTTTCCATTGTTACCTTCTTTAACAATTAGAACTTCACTTTTGCTAGTGTTTCTACTCATATTATTTGGTCATTCCCCAATTTTATCCCATAAAGTTTTCTTTTTACTTTTTTTGGTTTAATATATAGCATTTTTGTCTTTCCTCTCTACTTGGTGGAGGTGGGGTACTATGTCCAAACAGGCTAACAAAGAGCTGCTGATCTCAAGGGAACCACCCAACCCAGTACCCCTAGAGGTAGGGGGTTTTTAAGGTTGGATCAAAGTACCCTACTGTACACCTATACTGCTCCTGGCTCACTCTTTCTGTGCCTCTCTTCTCTTTGTCAATATTCCCTTTTACTCTACCCCTTCTCCTTTCTCTTTTTTCTTTTCTTTCTTTTTTCCCTTCTTGCTCTTCAGTCTTCTCATCCTTCTGGTCCTGTACCAAAAGGACTCATCAAAACCCTAATTCAGAGGCATGGTAACTTATAGCGCAAGAGGAAGTGAAAGGAAAATTAGGGCAAGGAAACAGATAAAAGAAAACACTCATGAGGAAGAATCAGCAGAAAAATATTGGCAACATGAAAAAACAGTCCAGAGCAA